GGCAGAAGTCCAGGGAGGACCAGGGAGGTATTGGGCGTTTAGGAGGGTACAGGGTGAGGGAAGCTTTAAAGGCCGACACTCGGCAACAGACGGGTTCCCCAGGGCAAAAGAGAGTGTGGAGCTGAGGAGGACACCCAGGTTTCCAGCTTGGGGGACTGGGAGGGTGGCTGTGCCCTCAAGAGTCATCGGGAAGGGGGGGGAGGCAAAAACGAGTTCAGTTCTGGACACGTTGGGTTTTAAGATGCCTGCTGGACACCCAGTCTGAGGCATTCACCAGGCTGCTGGAGACCCGAACCCAGAGATCAAGAGAGAGACCTACATGGTTAGGTGGCCTGAGGCAGGCAAGGATGGACTTGGAATCCAGAAGACCTGAGTTCCAATCCAGGCCTGGTTTAAGACACACTAGCTGCAGGACCTAGGGAAAGGCACTGTACCTTTCTCCACCTCAGTTTCTTCATCTGTAAAATAAGGATAATTATATTACCTACCTCTCAGAGTTGTGAGGATCAAATGAGACAACACTGTCAGTCAGTCAACATTTATTAAGCATCTGCTCTGTGCCAGGCACTGTACTGAGCACTGGGGATACAAAAAAGAGGCACACAGCTGTCCCTGAGCACTAGATCGATCTAGTGGGGGAGGCAGCGAGCAAACAAGCATGGTAAAAAACACATGGCAAATGGGAAGTCATCAAGCCAGGGAAGGCCCTGGAGCTAAGGGCGGGGGAAGGCTTCTTGTAGAAGGAGGGGTTTACCAATAGCTCACCAATGCTTACATTTCTTAGGAGTCTGGCCACTAGGGAGGATGTTCTAATAAACTTTGTCTTTGGCTGAAAAACAAAAGGAGGGATGTAAAGGAAGACAGGGAGGTCAGTAAACTTGTAAAATGCATTGCTCAAAGTGATATCCAAACACTAACTGTTATAGCTGCGTGTATGTCTATGTTAAAGTCTGTGTCTGTGTCTATGCCTACATCTGTCTGTTTCTATATCTGCGTCTATGTCTATGCTCATGACTATGTCTATGTCAAAGTCTGTGTCTGTGTCTGTATCACCACACACCTGGGAATCATCTACACAGAGATAATAAATTAATCCATGGGAGCTGATGAGATCACCACATGAGACAGGGCCCAGGGAAGAGCCCTGAGGGACACCCCCCGGAAGTGAATGAAGATCCAGCCAAGCAGACAGAGGGGAGCTGTCAGAGAGGGAGGGGTGTTCTGAAAACCCAGAACAAAGAGTATCCAGGAGGAGAGAGTGACCGGCAGTGTCCAAGACTGCAGAGAGGCCAGGGAGAATGAGGATTGAGAAAATGCTGTTGGGTTTGGCCACTAAGAGGTCACTGGAGAGAGTAGTTTCATCTGAGCAAAGGGAAAAGCTGTAAGCTCGCCCGGCTTTGAGGTCACCTCTCCTGACCATTAATCACACCCGGAAATGGTCTCCAGCCCAGCAGGGGAAAGTTCTGACTGTCCCTCAGGCGTCTGCTGAACTATCTGTGTCCCAAGGCTTCTCTCTCCACAGAAGAGTTCATCAGTAGAATTCTTTCCCACCTGGAAGTCTGGGAACCCAGATGACCAAGAAAGCCTGGAGGGGAAGGACCAGTGGAGGCTGGCCACCAGGCCCTGCTGCCCATGAAATGGGGCGAAGAAGAGCTGGGAACTACCAGCAGGAGGCCCTATAGCTGTGCGCCGATCAACCAAGGCAGCCCTCATCTGGCCAGTGATGGGGAGCTGGGAAAGGGCCAGAAGGGAAGGGGTGGGTGGCAGCTAGAGGGCCTGTGTCTGTCACTCCAAGGAGAGAGGAGGGCAGGGGGCAGAGTGCCTGGGTCTGCTCTGGCGGCCCTGGTCTGGAATGGCTCCTGGGGGTGGGGTGCCCAGAAGGGACCCCTCGGCCACTCCTCCCTGACACATCTTCATTACCACCACTTTCCCATGGCCTCAGCCTTCCCTCAATATGCCCTGGGCTCCTTCCCTACTCACCCCCACTGACCAGGCTGGAAGGAGATGGAAGGGGCCCCTGAGGCCATAGAGACTGACCTTCACTTGAGCAGAATTCCTTCGAGGAGATCCACACTAACGGGAGGGTAACCTGTGAAGGCTTCAGGGGAGGAAGAAGCCACCAACTTCACGCTGGGATCTGGCATCTGGACTCACTCTCATTCTTAGGTTGATCTTGACTTCAAGCCTAAGTCTACCTCTCTGCAACCCCTCCTCTGCTCTGCTGCACTGCTTCCCCCTTCAAAATTCTTCTGTGTGGGGCAAGCAGAACAAATGTGATCCCCTTCACATCCACGAGACTGTTTCCCTCCTCGAAGATCCTGCCATGCTCCCTCCCCTGCCCCCTCCCTCAGCCTTCTCTTTTCGGGGTTCGGTGCCTCAGTTTCCTCACATGGCCCTTGGGTGGCGCAGACCTGAGGCACTTCACCAAGATGGTCATCCCCTCTGGACATCTGCCAGCTTTTCCATGGCCTCCCTAGAAGACTAGGACAGATGGGAGACAGCCAGTGACTGCTTCGGAACGGAGAGGACCCCTGGGCTTGAAGCCCCCCATCTAGGGGGATGGCTGAGATGGTGCCAAGGACAGACACAGGGCGGGCAAGGAGAGGAGGAGGTTTGGGCAAGAAAGAATGCACCACCACCATCGCTGCCTCCAACCAGGGCGCCATGGAGGAATGTTGGGGCACTCACACGGACAGCAGCAGTCTGACCCTCTGTGGGAAGACTCTGACTGGCTCCCTGATGGGGAGGGAAGGCTGGCAAGCCTGGCAGCCCCAAGGGTTGAGCCCTGTTAAATTTAGCCTGTCTATGCTCCTGAGGCCCCGATCATTGGCAGGTGTTCCCAGGCCTTCCCTAAAAGGGCCTCTCAGAGCCCAAGGTTGGCAGCCCATTCTTCCCCAGGCCCTTGGGCTTAGAAGGCCTGGCTGCTCTGACCAGGAGCCAACCCCAATGCTATTTTCCCCTGAGCTCTGGACCACAGACCCCGAGGGAGGGTCGAGCCAGCTGGGCTTGCCTGGGATCCTCAGTTATTTAGCGGGGCACCAGGAATGCCATCTTCTCATCTTTGAGCGACTGTGACATAAAAAGGGCTGAGCCTTGTTCTGGCCTCAGAGGTACACAAGGTTCCATCTCAGGAAATCCTTCCCAAAAGTGAGAGCAGCCCCCAAGTAGCTGGGGGGGGTCTCAGGATGTGGTGACCCCCCCCCTGCCCTGGAAGTCTCTAAGCCAAGGCTAGAGACCCCTCACTGAGCTGTGGTTGGGGGGCCTCAGTCAGATAACTGTAATCAGGGGATTTTAGATTGGCAGAGACCTTGGCCATCAGTCAGGTTACAGATGAACAGACAGACTTCTTGGAGAAGGGAAGTGTCTAGCCCAGGGTCACGCAGTGCTGGGGCTTGGGCTGGGCAGATCGGGGCACAATGCTTTGTTGGTTAAATGGGTTCTCCCCATCTTCCAGACCTTGCCAGCACATGCACCCCTGGGCTTGGGGGGGGGATTATTCACCTTCTCCTGCAGGAGCTGTTTATGGTCCTTTCTCTTTGGGGATGGGGCCTTCCCCAGGGGGAGAACAGCTGGGCTTTGAATGCCGGCCTTACACTCACCCTCACTGGGACCTTGGGAGCCTCTCCATTGAGGCCTCGGCTTGCCTTCCATACGTTTCTATAATGAACTTTGCAAAAATATTTGGGGCTTTTCCTACATCCTCTCTTCCCAGCACCCCCCCCCATGCCATCATAGGGAAGCTGCAGTCCTGCAGAGATGTTGGGGGGAGTAGGACGGTGGGAGGAGCCCCCCGACTGGGCCTGGCTCCTGCTCTGGCACTCCCAGAGCATAGCCAGGGCATCTGGCCTCCCTTTCCTTGTCTGGAAGGGGAAAGGATGTCCTGGGCGATCTCTGAGCCCAAACGCCCCAGTTAGGTCTGAACCAGCTACACAGGGCTGGCTTCATGAGTAACTGTCTTGGCCAATGCCTCCTCCCTCCTCCCCACCACCTGGCTTCAGGGTAGCACAGAGAATAGGGACATGGGAGGCCACTGGGGGGTATGGGGGGACTTCCCTGGGTTCCTGCTTGGCGGAATAGAGCGGAGAATGCTACCAGGGCCTAACTGGGCAGCATGCGGGCCGAGAATGCAGACAGAAGTCTGTCTGCTTGCTGTCCTCAAGACTGGAGCCTGAGTTGTGGCCTCGTTGTGGTGGCTGGGGCACTTACAGATGGGGCAGGTGCCAAGGTGGGAGCCGTAAGGGAGATGCCAACCCGGCCCTGTCCATGGCGAGGGCCTGAAGGTGGCAGGAGATGGGCACCTGGATGATGCCCAGAGTGGTGTGTGCCAGAGCATTACAGGTGAGGTAAGGCCTGCAGAGATGATTGCCCGCATTTTATAGATGAAGACACTAAGACCAGACAGGTAGAGGAATCAGGGTCACCGCGCTTGTCAGTCACAAGGTCAGGAGGTGGACCCAGAAGTGCTGGCTCTAAATCCGAACTCTGCCTCGGGCACGAGGCTCAGGAGCCCACTGGCAGCCTTGTGCTGGTGCATCTGATAACTGGGTCTTTTGGCGTTAGACCAGGGCTTGGGGAGCCTCCCCACTTCCTCTCAAAGCTCAATCTGGAGCTGCGGGCTGCTGGAGGGGGGGCGGTGTGGTGGAGCCTGGAGCAGGGCAACAGCTCCCAGTGGAGGGGCTGGTGCCTGGCTCTGCCCGGCCCATACCAATGACGGACGGCTGTCGGGTGGGCATCAGGCTGTCGGGCCTCTGCCCCCAGATGTTCCTATTCTTAGGACAGGCTTATCTTGCCCCAGCTGCAAAGCCTGCTGATCTTTTCCTGTGTCTGACAGCCCAGGCTTCCTGCTGCCAAGAGGCCCCAGCCGGCCCGGCTGCTGGGATACAGGGGCAAGCCACCCCAGCTGCTTCGGCAGGGCCTGGGCGGCCCCAGGAGGGCGAGGTCCCCTCATCACCCATCCCCGCGGCTCCACCCCCTCTGCCTATAGATGGAAATGTATTTGCCCGACAAACTGACAAACCCGCAGGCTGTCCCCATTTGTCCCTCAGTCCTGGCCTGTGGGAGGAGGGGACACAAGCTGGCCCAGGGTCCCCCTGCGCTCCTTTGGGCTGGGCCTCCGCCGGGCCAACATGCAGGGGCAGATCAGGACCAAGCTGTCGGCTTTCTTCTTTGAATATGACACCCCCCGCATGGTGCTGGTGCGTAACAAGAAGGTGGGGGTCATCTTCCGCCTCATCCAGCTGGTGGTCCTCATCTACGTCATAGGGTAAGGACCTCCCTAGCCCTGCTGGCCCAGACCAGACTACACGACCTTCTCCTGGGCACCCCCCTCCACTGAGGGAATCTTACAGGCAGTGTGTTCCTCTCTCCCCTTCTCAGAGAATGATCCTAGGATGGCTGAGCTGGGAAGGACCTAGGACCTGGCTTGTCCGGTCCAGCTTCCTCATAGCACAAACTGGGAAACCGAGACAGGCTGGAGCCTATGCCCCCAGACCAAGCCTCCTGCTCGATAGAGTGTCCCCTCTTTCTAGCACAGGGCTTCCTTCACTCCCCAGATCTTGCCAACCCAGGCCTGTTGCTGGCCTTTGTTGGTCCAGAAGTGGGGGTGCTCATGGGGCTTGTTGTCTGAGCCGGCTCTCTGCTGGTCCTGAGCAGGAGGGGAGGAGGCTGGGGGAGGAGCACAAAGTCTAGAGCTTCCTTATGGGGTGGCCTGGGAGCAAGGTCTGGCCTTCCTCATTGAGCTGGGAGACCCACAAAGTTTGACTCTGATGGCCCAGGCCAGCTCTCCTTCTGTGCCTCTCACTTCCCTGCCCCCATAAGGGTCCCACTGTCTCCCATCTGTGTTACCTGGTAGCTAAGGGGTTAGCAATGGTGAGAAATGGTGCATGGATGCTCTCCCTGGGCCAGGCTGGGCTGGGCCGGATTGTCTTCACCCAGCTTTGGCCCTTGGGACCCAACCAAATGGTCAGTTCAACTCACTTCACAGTTGTTAGACTGAGCCGATAGGCCGTAGAAATAACTGAAGTTGGAATAGGGCTTTCCATGATCTCATGTGATTCTCCCAACAGCCTGTGTGAGTGTGTGCCCGTGTGTTATGTGCCTGTGGGGGGGGGTGTGCCCATGGGTGTGAGAGTATGTGCTTGTGGGTGTATGGCTATGTGCCCATAGCTGTGACAGTGTGTGCTCACAAGGGGTGTGTGTGTGTGTGTGTGTGTGTGTGTGTGTGTGTGTGTGTGTGCGCGCCCATGGGTGTCAGAGTATGTGCCCGTGGGTGTGTGTGTGTGTAAGTAGGTGTATATAGCTGTGGGTGTAGATACGTGTAGGGGTGTGTGTGTGTGTGTGTGTGTGTGTGTGTGTGTGTGAGTATGTGCCTGTGGGTGTGAGAGTACCTGCTCATGGGTGTGTGTGTGCATGTGTGCCCGTGCCCATGGTTGTGAGACAATGTGCCTGTGTGTGTGTGTAGGCGTGGATATGTGTAGGTAGGTGTGTGTAGGTGTGTGTAGGTGTGTGTGTGTGGGCATAGATATGTGTAGGTAGGTGTGTGTAGGTGTGTGTATGTGAGAGTGTGTGTGTGTATGTGTAGATATGTGTAGGTAGGAGAGTGTGAGTGTGGGCGTGGATACATGTAGGTAGGTGTGTGTAGGTGTGTGTGTGTGGGCATGGATATGTGTAGGTAGGTGTGTGTAGGTGTGTGTATGTGAGAGCGTGTGTGTGTACGTGTAGATATGTGTAGGTAGGAGAGTGTGAGTGTGGGCGTGGATATGTGTAGGGGTGTGTGTGTGTGTGTGTGTGTGTGTGTGTGTGTGAGTATGTGCCTATGGGTGTGAGAGTACCTGCTCATGGGTGTGTGTGTGCATGTGTGCCCGTGCCCATGGTTGTGAGACAATGTGCCTGTGTGTGTGTGTGGGCATGGATATGTGTAGGTAGGTGTGTGTAGGTGTGTGTATGTGAGAGCATGTGTGTGTACGTGTAGATATGTGTAGGTAGGAGAGTGTGAGTGTGGGCGTGGATATGTGTAGGTAGGTGTGTGTAGGTGTGTGTGTGAGAGAGCATGTGTGTATGTATAGATGTGTGTAGGTAGGAGAGTGTGAGTGTGGGCGTGGATATGTGTAGGTAGGTGTGCATGGACCCGACAAACACTTATTAAGTGCCGGCTCTGTACCAAGTCCTTTACAAGCATCCCCTCATTCATCGCCCCCACAACTCTGGGAGCTGGCTGGGTGGATATTACTCACCTCCTAGAGAGGAAGATGTGGTTAGCAGTGAGGCTGGGTCACTTGACCACAGTCACCCTGGGGATAAAGGCTGTGAGCAGGACACTGAGGCCCTCTCTGCAGCCTGGAGTTTTTTTTTTTTTAGGCAATTGTGGTTAAGTGACTTGCCCAGGGTCACATAGCTAGTAAGTGTGAAGTGTTTGGTCTGAGGCCAGATTTGAACTCAGGTACTCCTGACTTCAGGGCCAGTGCTCTATCCTCTGCGCCACCTAGCTGCCCCTAGCCTGGAGTTCTTTAGAGCCTTGAGAGGTGACACAGGGTCCCACAGCCAGGAGGTTTCCAAGGCAGGACTTGTACCCAGGTCTTCCTCTCAGGGCTCCATATAACTCTGGGTTGCAGAGAGGGGATACCTGCATTGGTAGAGAGAGTGCCCTCACCTGGGAGTTTCTGATACCAATGGAAATCACAGGCCAGTCCTGGCCAGTCCCCATCTCTATAATAAGTAAATGCCAACCAACCAGCATGTTGGATTTGGGGGTTAGAGACGAGTCTTGAGGGAGACCAGGGAGCAAGACAGTAGCCTCTCTCTTCTGGGTCTCAGACAAGGAGGGCTGGCCTCTGCATAGCTCCCCTCGCTATAGCTCCTGCTCTTACCACACCAGACTGTCTCCAGCTACAGCAGTGACCCCAGTTGTGGGTGTCTTATCTTAAGCCTGAAGGGGGGAAAAGCACCTCCCTGCTGGTCATGTAGAGTGTGTGTCTATGGGGTGTGAATGTGTGCCCATGGGTATGAGGGTGTGCCCGTGGGTGTGAGAGTGTGTGCTCATGAGTGTGTGTGTGTGCCTGTGTGTGTGAGAGTGTGTGCCCATAGGGGGCGTGCCCACAGGGTGTGAGGGTGTGCCCATGGGTGTGAGGGTGTGCCCGTGGGTGTGAGTGGATACTCATTGGGGGTGTGTGTGCCCACAGGCTGTGAGAGTGTGTGCCCATGTGTGTGTGTGTGCCCACAGGATGTGAGGGTGTGCCCATGGGTGTGAGTGTGTGCCCACAGGGTGTGAGGTGTGCCCATGGGTGTGACAGTGTGTGCTCATGGGTGTATGCGCTCCCATGGGTGAGGGAGTATGTGCCCATGGGTGTGTGAGTGCTAGTAGGGATGGAGACTCCTATCTTCCCCATGGGATCTGGATTTCTCTCTGGCTATGGCGAGACCTTGGGCTGGGAGCTCAAAGCCCTGGGTTCTGGTCCTGGCTCAACGAGGGACTTGCTGCGGGATCGTGGGCAAGTCATTGGCCCCCCGTAAGCCTCAGTTTCCTCATGTTTAAGGAGATGCCGATAAAATCCCGACGGAGAAACACCTGCCAAGTACGAGCCAGGCAAGGCTGTGCCAGGTGCCCAGGGCACAAAGCAACATCCAGGACAACAACCTCCGTGGCTGTAGGTCAGGCTGTGGCCAGTGCTGAGGGGCTTCGGGCCCAGGGCTGGCAGCCATCGGGGGAGGAGTGCCCAGGAGCAGCAGGAAACAAGGCAAAAAGATGGGAGGGAGCAAAAGGGGACAAGCCAGCCCTTCCTTCAGATGCTCGGAGACAGCCATCACGTCCCCCCATCCCCAGCCTCCAGCGGTCCCTTAGCACATCCTCTTCACAACATGCCTGGAGGCCCTTCCCCAGCCTGGTTGACCCTCTCTAGTCTGTCCCCAGCCTTCTTAAACCTGGACTGAGAGCGATTGTCCTGCGGGGTGTAATGGGGTGGAGGACAGCGGGGCGGTGGCAGAAGCCACTGCCCCCTTCCTGCCAGGCCCCCAGTCCCCCTCTGCCTTGGGCTCCTCTCTGGCCCTGGGAGCTGGCTTCTCTCTGGCAGCTGCTCCACGCCTCTCTGATCTCAGCAGCGCATCAGGGAAGTCACAGTTCTGCGCCGATGACGGCAACTTGCTGGCACCTCAAAGAAATAAGCCACAAAGCCAGAGAATTTACAGCTTAACCTCTTCTCTTCTGCCCCACCTCAGCCAAGTCACAGAGAAGGGTGGGGCTTGGGAGCACCTGGGGGACTACTTGCCCAGACCCCTCACAGTTCAGAGGAGGAAGGTGAGACCCAAGGACAGGAGCAAATTTGTCCAAGGTCACACAGACTGAAATTCCTGGTCCCCACTCCTTCTACTGGCCCACCTTCTATCGCTGCCCCTTTCTGCTTCCTGACTCTTGAGGCTCTGGGGAAGGCAGAGTTAAAGAGCTGATTGCCTGGTGCTGCTCCAGTCAGGTTTTCCCATGGCTGTCCCTCAGCCTCAGGTGGCATCGGCCCCAGACCCATTCTTAACTCTTCATCTTCACTTGCACTGCCCCCACCCCCCCCAACACTCCCTAGGATTAATTCTGGACTTTCCACGCACCTGTACCCCCAGGGTCCAACCCACATCCTCCTCCTCCAGGAAGCCTTCCCAGGTCCTTCGGTCCCTGCTAGTCTCTCTCTCCCATGAGCTTCCCTAGAGCTTGGGGTCTGGAGCACACGACTGAAAATCATGTGCCTCCTTCATTGGTTCATGAGGTGTGTGCCCTCTGAGTAAGGGGCAATGCCTGGATCTGCTCATCATTCACCAGCTGTGTGAGTTTAGGTGCCATTTGATTTTGTTCAGCCTGGGTTGTTTCTAACCACGAGGGGTAACACATGGAGGTGTTTAATCACTAGGACCTTGCAAGATTAAGTCTTTTCTTTCTACTTCAGTCCATCCTCCACTCAGCTGTCAAGGTAATTTTCCTAAAATGAAAGTCTGACATCCAAAAAAGGGGAAAAAGGACCCACCTGTACAAAAAAATATTTAGAGCAGCTCTTTTTGTGGTGACCAAGAATTGACAACTGAGGTGAAGCCCATCAATTGCAGAATGGCTGAACAAGCTGTGGTATATGAATGTAGTAGAATACTATGGTGCTATAAGAAATGATGAGCAGGATTCCTATTCTCAGAAAAACAACGATCCAAGATAATCCCAAAGGACGAATGATGAAGCAGACTGTCTGCCTCCAGAGAAAGAACTGATACTGATTGAATATGGACTGAAGCAGG